TGGGAGTCTAGGGTCTCATTCTGCCACTGTCTCCAATGAGTTGTCCAGTTGAGCCTTTCCAGGTTCTGTTTCTCCTTCATACAGATGAACTCTGAGGTCTACAATCTGTGCTGGACACTGCAGAACTGTAAATCTCTGCGTCCATACGGGAAGCTAACTCCTAACAGTATCAGCAGAATATTGGCGAAATCTAACGCACATTCCTGCCTGTACCTTCTCTGGCAAAGGAGCTGGGTATTATGAAATGAAGTTGGCAGAGAAGGGGAGCTGTCAAGCGCTTGTTGCTACTTGCTGTGCAGTGCCCAGGGCCAGTGGCTCTCCCTGCTGCCCAGGGGGCACACTAAACACTTTGGAAGAGACTCAAGGGTTTACAGCACACAAAACCAAACCTAATTTCACAATGGGTTTGATGAGAAAGTATTAACACAGAATTCAGCAGCCTCCTAATAAGATCTTCTTATCTATAAAGGGAGAACCACAGACCCTTAGGAGTTCAAATCAACCCCAAAAGAGATTCCTGTAAAGAAATGATGGTTTACCCAGAGTCACAAATTGAGAATTCAGAAAAAAACCACGCCCACCATTTCCAGTTAAACTGTGTTGAACACTAAGATGAAGCAAATGTTTAGACATTTGAGAGATGCAGTGAGAAAGGATTCCACCCTTCCTTCCAACAGGTACAGCGGGAGCATGGTCGTGGTTATAGATAGAAGTGGTGCCCGGCATGGAGTAGACACTATTTGATGACTGAGCACAATTTTGCACACACGAAGAATAAGTCAAATAGTTCTTCACAGGAAGGACTGTGGTTTACTCTTCGAATGATTAAAACGTGTATAGGCAGCTCAACGCCTGTAATCCCAGCACTCTGAGGCTAAGGTGGAAGGATCATCTGAGCTCAGGAATTGGAGACCAGCCTGAGCAAGAGCAAGACTCATCTCTACTAAAAACAGAAAAACGGTCCAAGCATGGTGGTGCACGGAAGTAGTCCCAGCTGAGGCGGGAGGATTGCTCAAGCCCAAGAGTTTGAGGTTGCTGTGAGCTAGCATGATGCCACAGCACTCTACCCAGGGTGACAGGGTGAGACTATGTCTCAAAAATAAATAAATAAACAAACGAATAAAAATAAAATATGTATAAAAGAAATAAACCTTTTGCAGCTTTTAATGAGTTGAAAACAAATAAGCAAATCTACCATATGAGGTTAATCCTGACATTTATAAAAACCCCTAAGCACTTTAAAACGAAAGGTGGGAAGGCTGAGTACCTGTTTATACAGCTATAAAATTTTAATACTAATTAGCTGCGTGCTCTGGCATGTGCCTATGCTCCCAGCCACTTGGGAGGCTGAGACAGGCTGAGATCATTTGAGCCCAGGAGTTTGAGTTTAGCCTGGGCAACACAGTGAGACCCCATCTCTAATAAATAAATTTAAAAAGTTAATACTAAACAATGCCTTTCACAACCAAAGTCCATATTCCTATGCGACTCTTTGGGAACCAATGGAGAGACCTGTCACCAGGTGGCTTATTTTTATTGCCATAGAGCATGTCAGCATCCAAAGTCACATTAAAGAATGTGGCAATGAAATTCTTCAGGACATTAGGAAGTTTTTTGTCTCAAAGTTAGTAGCTAGCATAAGGAAATGAAAACCCATTTTGAAAACTGAATATAACTAAGGGCTTCAAAAAACCAAAGCAAATTGTCTTCTTTATGTCCCAATTTCCAATAGAAGAGAGTGAGGCAGGTGGAGACACTTCATTTGAAAGACCCAAGAAACGGGAAGTACTTACAGTTGCTATCACGGTTCCTCTTCTCACATTTTTACAGTATCTGCTCCTTGTACTATCCACCTGCCAGGTGTATTATCTGACTACACTGTAAGTTCTTCAGTGTCTGGAGGAGCCCCAGGCCTCCCCTCACTGACAAGTGCTTCCCTGGTGACCAAGATGGATGGGGCACTTTGATAACCTGGCAGGACACATCAGCAACATCCCTTTCCTTTTCAAATCAGGGACCTACATATATGCTTTAGGCATTTCAAACATTTGGTAGTAACGACCACACTCAAGTGAATGGATATGGATGCTTCAGCCTATAAAGCAAGATAGATAAATGCAAATATAACTTTAGGGGAAATGACCTACTAGTAAAATGCATAGAAAGGCAAGCCAATTTAAGTTACTTCCTTAACAGCTGTTAAAAGAAACATTAGTCAGGTCAGTCACAGTGGCTCACACCTGTAATTCCAGGACTCTGGGAGTCCAAGGCAGGTGGATTGCCTGAGCTCGTGAGTTTGAGACCAGCCTGAGCGAGAGTGAGACCCCATCTCTACTAAAAATAGAAAACAATAGCCAGCCATTGTAGTGGGTGCCTGTAGTCCCAGCTACTCAGAAGGCTGAGGGAGGAGGATTGCTGGAGCCCAAGAGTTTGAGGATGCTGTGAGCTGTGACACCACATCACTCTACCCTGGGTGACAGAGTAAGACTCTGTTTCAAAAAAAAAAAAAAAAGAAAGAAAGAAGGAACATTAGGCTTAAAACACACACAGACAAACTACTGAAGATTGATTGTAAAATTTAAAAATCAATAGATAATATTATCATAATATTCTCGGTTGAGAGGGACAGTACTTTTTATTTCATTTTTCAAGAAAATTGTTTACTGCAACCCAAATCCAAGAGAGTTAACTTGGAAGTTTTGTTTTATTGAAAAATCATACTAAGATTTAAAAGACAAAAATTAAAGGCAAAAACATCCAGGAAGCTGACAGATACTAATGCATCCAAAAACCAATACATGGAAAAGTGCAGTTTATAATAAACTATAAATAAGTTGCTTCCATACCATAAGACTGAGGGAATGGTTGGAGTGCAGAACGTACACTGTGCATGTTTGGTGAATTAATGAACAGATGAATATATTCAGATTGGTCACGCTACCCCTGTCTGTCTCCTTTTTTTATTAAACCAAGCTGCTAACCCTTGTAAGTTTTGTCTTTAAATACTTTCTAAAGAGAAAGAAAGGCACTAAAAACAAATTATAATTTTATAACTTACGATCCCTACTCAGTGTGTCATGAAAGTGATAGCACTTGGATTGCTTCAGTGAATCCTAAGGAATCTTTCCCTCATAATTTTAAAATATAGACCGTAGAGAATATCTCAACAGCATATGGCCAAGTTTGTGTGATTATCCGAGAATAATTCAGTCTCATAAAAAATGCAAATTGAACAGTTGTGCATTAATTCATGCCAACCCTGTTCTCCAGACAATCACCAGGGACCTCCCACGTGAAATCAATATACATACATGTATTTAACTTTTATCACTGGCTCACTCAGTAAATATCACGCTACAGACCATTTAGGGATTCCTCGTTCAGGCAAATAGCAAATGTGCAACGCAGGCTGGTGGTGTCAAGCCATTAACAAATCAATCGATAACTGTTCCCTGGTTGATTGTACCGAATGAGGGCGAAAACGTGCAACATCTGGAGAGGGAGAAAACCGTTAATCTGCTGCCAAGATGAGATCTGTTTAGGGCAGAGGATTCCGCATTCATGGGAACTCTAAGAAAACCTCTCAAGGAAACTTGAAATTGCATTATGTCTTCTCAGGCTTTACTAAGCATTACAACAGATTTAGCCTTTGATATTATTCCTTAGACACCAAAAGGCCCGAAATCCCCAAGGACCACACTGGGAGACGCCATTCTTTTGTTCCAGTCGCTAAGAGTGAGGCAGGACTCAGAAACATCTGAGTGCATGATGTGATGAGAAGCAAATGATTGAATCTTCAAAGCTCCCATTTTAAGATACTTTAAGCAAGACTCTTAGCATTTTACAGGGACCACATGTAGTCATGAGCAGCTAATTTCCCCCAAAGTGGCCAAGAACAGCCAGCTCCAGTTTTTGCTAAGAACTCACTTTTTTTTTCTTTAAGTGGGAGTCCTATTTAGTGCCACACTCTCGTTGCCAAGCCCCTGAGAATATCATCATTTGCACATGAATTTCAGGATGATCACTCCTCCTGTCCCAGGTCACAGAAAGCCAATACATGGTGCTAACTCTGAGGTCATTTACCCCCTTGCTAGCTAAAGGACAGTGAAAATAAAACGAACACAAGGAGGTTCCGATGCTAGAATAAAGTTAAGGTTCATGACTGCTTCCTCAATTTACACCACGTGATGAAAACCACTGTCTACAAAGCGTCAGCAAGAAAGCAGTGGAACTCAAAAGCATTGTCCATCTCTCAACCGTTCCAAAAACCAGCAGCGAGAGACTCAGGACAAAGCCACATAAATGATGCTCTGAATTATGAGAACTGAGGACAATCTCATGTCATGATGGGTCTGGTGGCCTTCCCACTATATAGAAGCAAGAAAAAGATCCCTCCCCTCGCTTCCTCTGTGACTTGATCTATGGAAAGAAAACAACCATTTGTTGTCAAACAGACACTAACATGGGCACGCACGGACCCCTGCGGAGAGTGAGGCTGCTGGGTTTTAATGAACTGCACTATATTCACTTACCCCCATCTTGCTCCCTGGGTGGAAGGTTTAACTCTCCACCCAGAAACAATACACACAAGCAGCAGCTTTACTGGGAGTAAAAGTCAAAACAGAAATCTGTTCCTCCTGTGAACGGCAGGCTTCCTGCTGCCGACTCCTCGTCAGTGGAAACCTCACCCTCTCTTCCCGTCCCAGTGATGAATGGAGAGAATAAAATAACCCACGGAGGACAAAAGTTGGAAAACACCCTCTCCTCACTGCTTTTTCTCTCTCTATATAAGATGCTCAGTGACACCTTAATTCCAGAGGCGGAATTAAAGCAGGCCCTGTCACCTGAGCAAACTGCACTGTGATGTCACACCCGCTACACCCTTCTTTTTAGCCATGGTGCCAGAAGCCAGCCATACCCCGCCTGGTCTGCCCCACCCCCAGCACCCTGACGGAGACTGCACCCCACTCCCCACAGGCCACATTCTCCCCAGACCTTACCCTGCCCAAGAGGTTGTCCTGAAGTAGCGTCTGTCGCAGCACCGGGGCCACCTCCTCCAAGCTCAACATGTGGCAAAGGTCAGTGAGTTCCTCCTGCCCCAGAGACCCGGTGCCCGTCGTGTCAAAACTGTCAAACAGCTCCTTGAGTCGGGCCACATACTGGTCCTGCTCCACCTCATCCATCCCATAGCCCACGGCGCTCACCTGTGCAGGGCAGAGACAAGGACAGTTTGTGGCGGCCCCCTGAAGCCTGGTCACCTCAGGCATGCTCACCTCCCTAGCTCCCAACCCCCCCAAGGGTCTCCATTTAACACTCTCTTTCTGGCCTCTCCTGGGCTCACACCAGGGATGCACCCACAAGTCCATCACCCTGGGGGTAATGTTACCAGAAGGAAGGGGTCGTTAAGGCAGAAAGACGCCCTCCTCTCCTGCCCGGTCCCCAGAGAGATGGCCAGACTGTCAAGCTCAAGGCTGATAGCTGTTCTCCAGTGGAGCTTCTGGCCCAGAACTTAAAGAAGGTGAAAAGCCACTTCCGACAGCAAGGCTGTTCAGATGGGCACAGGTGGGCAGGCTCCAGACCACCTGCCCAGATGTTGCCATGTGCCAGGAGGCCGGGCTGATGAGTTCTGCTTTGTTCAGCCTGGCGTAGTAAAGCAGCTGCGAAACCACCTCCTTGTTTACAAGAGACTAAATACCTCTTACACGAGTTCCTCAAAAAGCAGCTCAATTAGCTTCCTTGGTGCAATTACGTGAGGTGTGACAGAGAGTATTCCCGGGAGCTCACCTTAGTCCCAGGGAGTTTAGGTAAGGCTCAGTTGCCTAGAGAAAACGGGAAAACACAATCCCAACCTTTCAGACGGGAGGTCTGAAGGAGCCACAGACTGGCTCATGTGCACTGACGGGGCCCCAGGGAGCCTCCCCTGTCTGCAGCGTCTTACTGGTTATGCCTGGCTAGCCTGTCTGCCACCTCTCTGACCCTTCCATTTGGCCACATTCCTGAGGCTCACCCCCAACTCGGATCATCAATAGCTCACAGGGTCATTTTTGCTAAAAGTAGAAATCATAAAACTCCAGATGCCTTGTACTTTAAGGACGAAATCTAGGCTTTTCTCCTTGCACAATAATTCCCTGTGTGGGACCTGTTGACAGCCTGAAGCTCCCTGCATCTGCAGGTGCTCTCACAGTGAGGCAATGGTGGCCAGGGAATGTATGGAGACCATGCCCTGGAGACCATGACCTCAGCCCTCGGCAGCAGAGCTCTCCCCTGGGCTATGAAAGGCAATGCCTTTCACTAACTCAGCACCTTGAAGAATCCAAGGCAGGTTGACCGAAACTCTCTCACCTAGAGGTGGTGTTCCCCAGACAGATGTGATAACATGGGAGACATGGAACGAAGATGTTGAATGTGGCCAGAACTGAAAATGAAACAGCTTTCTGTAAGAGATCAGCGCTGCTGCGGAGTGTGGCCACCTCCTTTCTACAGACAGATGTTCAGCATTTGACAAGGCAGAACAGGGCCACGATCTTCCCAAGGGTTTCAGTTGGAACTACGTGACCTCAGAAGATGAACGTGAACAGCTCTGCCACATGGCTCGGTTTTTACTGGGGACACTCTGTAAAGCTGAGTGGCACAGTTTTGGTCTGGTCTCCCGGTCTCCTAATTATCAGTTTTTCTGTTACTAAGGTGCTGCTTGCTGGCTCTGGCTGTCTTCCCAGGGTTGGTCTGTTGGGTTAACTAATCACTATGTAAATGTTTTCAAAATAAGTTGAGAGTGCTATATAAACATCAAACCATACACAAAGAAACACCAAGGTGTTAGCAACACCACAGGAGTTAAGAACTTAGACAAGGCCATGGATTGGCCAATGAGCTTCACTTAAGAGTCCACCAGTTAATTAAGACCTACTGAGAGTCCCCAAGATGCGCTGGGGCGTTCAGCCTTGCCACACCTCTCAGTCTCACTCTGAGGCTATAGTCTGATCAGCTTCAAAAACACCAGATGACTCTGCTTTTGCTTGGTTTTGTATGTCTATTTAGAAACTCGAAGGAAAATAAAGACTTCCCTTTTTCAAAATTAGTTTCAATGAAAAGAAATTTGTCCGTCTAAACCAACAAAGCACAGCAATAAAACTCACAATGTACTGAGAATTCCTGATCTTATCTGTTTTGAATCTGATAAATTATCATGCCCTACTCTTTGGGAGGTCACTGTATTTGCACAAATAAAACCGCTGTCATTTTATAGATTTCCTTTCCACAACTCTCTTGATCTTCCTCCTTCTACAGACACCATGCTTAGTAAAACATTCTTTTGACTCAAGATGGAGGGGGAAGCCGCACCCTCAGACTGAAACATCCAGGACATCTTATACACAGTGACAGTCGTCAGGTCTCATCTGGCACAGACTGTATTTTTACTGGTTAATATTATTCTCCAAATGTTCCCCAGTAATTTCATGTGCAGGAATCGTTTTTTCTCTCTACTTGGCAGAAATCCCTTTAAGGGTCAGATCCACCACACCTTCTGTTTCTTTTATATCTTCCCCCAAATGCACAGAACAGCCGGTCTGGCTTCACATTGGGACTCAGTAAATATCAAGGACTTAGTATGTGGGTATTTTTAAGAGGAAAGTTACCCCAAATGAGGTACAACAGGGCCCATGAAATGGTGAAGTGCCTGTTTCTTCCACATACACACTTCTCCTTCGCCCATTCCACCCCTTTTCAGAGGCATCTTCAGGATCAGACACAACCAAGCAGAAACAAACACTGGCAGACCGTGCTGCGCAGAGCTGTCTGGAGCTCACTTCAGCCGGCTGGGAACTAAGCCAACCGACTCGCAAACTTCAGCTGCACTTTGTTATAGATGAGACTTTTGAGGAGAATCTGGACTAAAACATTTTCTCAGGGCCCTTGATTGTAGAATAAGAGAGACAGTGTCCATCCGGGACGGTGGTTCTGAGGCTTACATGTGACAAGCAAGTGAGATTAGCTAATCCCAGAGAAAATTAATACAAGGGGGGAATTGAGAAAACCAACAAGAGAATGCACCTGTGGGTGAATTTACAAAGGACCAGTGAACTGAAGAGGGGGTCTCTTAAACCAATCAGCCATAGATGGACCTTCAAAGAGGACTCTGCAGAAGGGAGCGGGAGAAGGGAAGCGGGGGTGCTGTGTCTACGAACACCATTATGTTACTGAACGATCATGGGACGCCAGAGCTTCTTTGACCTTTAGAGGCAGACAACTGATAAAGTTAATGTCAAATAAAAGCAAAAAGGATGAAATGCAGTTGGGAATTCAGAAGAAACGCTGTTTTTTTTTTTTCAACTTCTGAACATTTAACTAAGAGTCTGGCTTATATCAAGTACTTTGGCATCTCACTCAGTCCTCACAATTATCTTAAGTAGATATGGTTGTTTTCCCATTTGAGACATAGAAATTGGGGTGTGGAAAAATTAAGCATTTTTAATGGGGGGGGGGTGAAGCCAAGATTTGAACTCTAGTGTGACTCTAAGTTATACCGTCTGACTATCCCACACCAGCACACAACACACACAAATGGGCCCACTGAGATGACACCATGGACAAACTACTGGTCTCTACCTCTATTGTCAGCTAGCTGAACAGTTCCGAGCAAGGAACATTCCTCAGCCATAAACTTTTCCAGTTGGAATTGAGAGAGGCGGGATTGTTTCCTCCTGTCTCCCTTGATTGTGCAATGACAGCCTACAAGGCACTGGGGATACTCAGATAGAAGAAGACTTCTCTTTCCTTCTAAATCACCTTTGGGACTTAGGGGATGGAAGAAATAACTTTTTATATAAAAATCATCACGAAGAGTTCCATATCTTCAATAACAGGTGTTGGACCAGGAATTGATAACTGTTAAATTACTTCCCTCAAATAAACACGTAAGTATTAAAGTACCTAATCTATGCAATCCGATGCTTTCCAGAGTCAACTCCTAACTGGCACCCCCATGGGAGGAATCTTACTCAGAGATTAAGAAAGTTGAGTTTGAGTGATAAACCCTCTTTCAAACTACAACGGACAATTCCAGTTTTATTAAGGCTGCCGTAAGCCAGGTCTCTCCTCACCATCTACCTTTTCAATCAAACTCTAAGAAGTCTTTATGACTCCTTTGGAATAAAAAGGCCAATGTGGGGGATATTCTGGAGTTGTAACTGGGGATGATTAAATAAGAGGCAGATGTACAGAGCCATTAATCTAAACATTTACCACCCAATAACAACCCCTAATGAGAATGATTCAGAGCATTTTCCTTCCAAATAACTCAGAACAAGGCTGCCAAAATGCTGCAGATGCTGATAGGATGTCCATTACCCCAGCTGATGAAATCACAGTGCCAAGTGGAACTGCAGAAGAAACAGTGGGGGTGTGGCTGGAACAAAGAGATTGTGGCTTGGCGGTCACAGCTCAGTGGTTAGAGCGCTGGCCCCATGCACTGGGGCTGGTAAGTTCGAACCCGACCTGGGCCATATAAACAACATTAACAACAACAACAATAACAACAAATAGCTAGGTGCTGTGGCAGGTGCCTGTAGTCCCAGCTACTTGGGAGGCTGAGGCTTAAGCCCAAGAGTTTGAGGTTGCTGTGAGCTGTGACACCACAGCACTCTACTGAGGGTGACATAATGAGACTCTGTCTCAAAAAAAAAGAAGAAGAAGAGGACGTGTGAATTGATGTACTTTACAGTGTCCAACCCCTGATGGAAGGGAACTTGCAGGAATGGCAGCCTCGCCAAAGGGGACGTCTGTTCCGGGTTGGAGGGAGTGAAAAGGGGACAAAGTCTGGCAAGTGAAAACTAAATAACAAACAAGCACAATGCCAGAGCCCCTAGTCCAGGCTTTTTATTGCCCTTCCAGATGGTCTAGCAGCTAAACAGATCCACAGAATGTCTGGACGGCCCTGTCACCTCTGCCGTCTTCCTCGAGAGGGCATCGTAATAGACACTTTCGGACTAGTGTTCAGACATAACTGTTGGGGTTCACAGACCAGGCAGTGACCATCAGGTGAAACATTTTGTTACTTTAGAGCTGAGCCAAAGGGATGAAGACCATCAAACCCTGCTTTGGCAAAACTTTCCATTCATGCCTTTAGCTCTCACTGTTTGGCAACTCGGAGCCAAATAACATCAATGATCACATTAAAGTGTTTCTTTCCTTTTTTTCTTGAAAATGCTTTAATCTGTTGCAAAGATTTCCAAGCTTACCATTTTGGACTAATTCTAGTATAAAAAGAAAGAGCTATAAGAATAAATTCAATTTAAGCAAAAACTCAACAGAAAAAAGAGTAGCTGCCATTTGGGAGTTTATGTAGGAGAAGACTTCCGCCAAAAACCATCACTGCTCAGCAGCAAATTGGTTACCATCAGACAGCCTCCTCTCTGCTCACACAGCACCTGGCTTCTAGCTGGGTCCTGAACGCACAACAGTATCACTGTAAATAAAACTGTGGATTAAAAATATAATACAAAAGCTTAAATGCCACTGCCCAGGAAGAAAGTCATATTAAATAAATTTGAAAGAAACTAACCACCTTTGCTGACTATGCTATAAAATTTAATGTAACTAAGGAAATCTTGCCAATATTTATTCTAGAGTGTAAACAGGCTTTCGTATTTTACCATCCTGAGGGATATAGCAAACCCATGCTTTTGTTAAACCTAATACCAGGTGGATTACCTACTCAAGTAGTTAACGCAGGGTAGCTGGAGAGTGAAGAAAACCCAGCACAATGCACATTCAATAGCATATAATCAACTACTAAGTAAAATTACAGACACAGAAAACAGAGCTGCAGGCTGGTTTTTTTTTTTTTTAAAGAGAAAGCTTATTACAACTTTCACTTCTTGAACCATACTTAAATTAATTTAGGATATCTGAAGATATGAATATAGTTCCCTAGGGTATAAGAGCTTGTCTTCTTGCATCTGTAAATGATATTTTTTCAATTTTGCTTTTTTAGGTGAGCATTAGGGTATTGATGCTTTGTAATTTTTCCACCCAAAACTTGAATGAAATGGCTAATTGTTAATCTAAACGGCAGGAAAGAAGTGTCCCAATCCCATAATCTTTTCAAGATTGTGTTTTATTTGTAAATAGGATAAAAATATCTTTTTCTTGCAAGCTTCACTAAATCTCTGCATAAGCCCCTCCCCAACAGATGTGATTTCAATTGCCAGAATTCAAACCACCTTATTTATTGGCTTACAAATGAATTGGCATCTATAAAACCAAACCCCTTGAAAGGGCTGCTGTCTGAATCCCTCTAAAACGCTCTGGCTAAATTTGCCAACTGTTCATCAATATGAGACTGACAAAATGTATTTCCTTATCGACATAAAAGATTGGGGAAATGTTAGTTTAAAAAATCATTTGCAGTGACATTTAAAACAATTTATTTGAACATTTGACTCAAGATAAGAACACGGCCTATATTAGGATTGGCTGTTCAGAATTCATTGCAGCCTTATTCTCCCTCTCTGTGACAGTTCACAGCTTTTGATATTAAGGGCCATTGCAGATCTACAATGAAAAAGGAATAAGAAAAAAGAAACCCCAGCTTTCTGAGCAAGTACCTATTTAAAATGACTGATCCTTGACATTTTAATGCAGACACTGTGTCTGATGGCTCCCTCTCCATCGCCTCCCTAAACCTTTTCCCTGTGTTGGCAGTATCTCTGTTGATGTCCAACCCGTAAGGAACATTCCTAAGTCCCACCCTTTATCTACACTGCAGTTCACAGTGCTTCCCTCTAAAGACTCACCAGAGAAAAAGTGCAAATAAATCTGCAAACAAACTCCCCAGTCGTCCCCATCACCTCCCAGGGGACCCTGTCAACAGCCAAGAGACCGCAGCACACAAACCTTTTTTTTCTTTTTCCAGCCAGCCTGTCCTGTTACAGATACACACACTCTGGGAACGCGCACAGTTCCCTTTAACTCCAGACCAAGAGCTACCAACATTCCAGGTCACCCATCTATCAAGATAAAATTAAGCTGACAGAAAAGATACATTTCCTTGCAGACCGTCAAGCCTCGGGACGCTGCCAACTGACAGAAATTTGTGTCATGGCATCTAGGAAAATTCAGTCAGGAAACCAGGCATGGTCCCAGGAGCTCTGCTCCCGGGCGGCGATGGACTTTAGGATTCTGGTCTTCCAAAGCCCTAGTTGTCACAAAAGACAACCAGGAAATCTATTTAGATTTAATACATTCAAGACTTGAGTTGTATGTCAAGCTCATCCCAGGAATTCCTCAACATCGAGGAGAAGCTCTGTCCTCACATCCAAGGTGTCTGGAAACACGATCCGGCAGGACAGTCTTTCCAGCTCCGGTTTTATTTGGACCCTAACCCCAGGCTGTCAGAGCTGTCAGTCTCCATCTCTTGTAATTTCACAGCAGGAGCTTTAGCCAGCGCCTGTTTCCACGCGCGCGTCCTTGTCTGGGGCCAGTTTGGCAGCCGCAGAAGCCCAGGCCCCGGGCCCTCCACACTTCCACCCCGCGGGGCCCCGGGCTCTCCACACTTCCACCCCGCGGGGCCCCGGGCCCTCCACACTTCCACCCCGCAGGGCTGGCGGTCGGGGCCCTCAGGCAATGCCCGATGTCACCGCGCTCCTCCCCTGTCTCAGCAGCTGCACGGGGGAGGTCTGTCCACCTGCGCTGACCCCCGCACACTCAGGGCTTCAAACAGCCCCTCAGGCAGCCCAGGCTCCACCTCGGGGTTCCCCGCGCAGCTTTCTCTTCCGTTCTCAATCACAAGACACAAGCCAACGGAACAGCCACCTTTTCTGCTCCCTCCGGAGCTCAAGTTCGCTCCCGGACCAACCCACGGTAGCATCTTTCCGCTCCGGGCGGAGCAGCGGCGGAGGCGGGCGCGCGGCCCAGGTCCCGGGCAACCTGCGCTGCGTCCCAGACCTCCTGCCCGTCGCCACCCTCGGAAACCCCAGACCCCCGCAGTGTCAGCGGGCGCCCCGCCGCCTCGCCTACCTCCTGTCGGCCTCTCGGGGCGCCCGCGCAGCCGGCCGCCCGCCTCCGGAGCTCTGCGAACAGGGAGGACGCTTTGTTAGGGCTGCAGAAGCGCGACAATACTTCGCCGCCCGCGCCGCGGTTCCGGGCGGGCGTCCTTCAAAAGGACGCGGCTGGGGACCCGCGCGGGAGTCATTTCCATATGTAAGGACAGCTCCTACCAAGCGCGGCTCCCGGGGGCCGCCGCAGCCGCGCATCCTCCCGCCCCCGCCCGCGCCCGGACCCGCCCCCTCTCCGCCCCATCCCCCGGGAACCACCCGGCCCGGACCCGACAATACTTCGCCGCCCGCGCCGCGGTTCTGGGCGGGCGTCCTTCAAAAGGACGCGGCTGGGGACCCGCGCGGGCGTCATTTCCATATGTAAGGACAGCTCCTACCAAGCGCGGCTCCCGGGGGCCGCGGCAGCCGCGCATCCTCCCGCCCCCGCCCGCGCCCGGACCCGCCCCCTCTCCGCCCCATCCCCCGGGAACCACCCGGCCCGGACCCGCCTCGGGGACGCCGCTTCCTCCTAGCCCGCGGGGACTGCGTCCGCCCAGGCCCCCGGCCGGAAGGGGAAGCCCCGGCGTGTCCCCGGCCCCGTCGGTCCCGGGCGCGCAGGGCCTCGCCGACGGTGCGCGGGCGGCGCGGATCGAGGGCCCGGGGTTGGGCTCGCTTACCGCGTCCCGGGGCTCAGGGGCCCCGCGCCGTCACGGGGACCATGGCCGCTGGCGCACTCCGGGTCCGCGGCGGCGGCGGCGGGACGGCCGCGCCCAGCGCGCTCGGCTCCCGGCTTGACCGCGGCCACCCGGAGCTTTGGACGCCGGGGAG